CTGTTTAGTACTCAGAAGTCATGCAGATACAACTGTGCTGGAGGCACCACAAACAGTTGGAACAGAGCAGAATGGAGAGGATGGCCCTGCACAGCCTCTAATCCACACTGCTCAGCCAGGCTGCCACTCTGTTTACCCACAGCTCTGATCCTTACGCTTAGGTAAACAGACACCAAAGCCTTCTGTTTTGTGGGTTTGGTTCTTCTTGTTTGGTTTGGGTTTGGTTTTTTTTCATTTTAAAAGCATTCTATTTCACTTTACACATGATAATTTCTTTAAGTCTTAATTCTGCAGAAAGAAGCATAATGTCTGATTCAATAGATGTTCATATGCAATTCATAGTTTTCCCAAGCTCCTGCATACCAGGCAAGACATGGTATTTAAAAATATGTGAACATGAGACAAATAAGCGTGCCTATATTTTCATTTTCAGAGCCTTCCACTATATATTCTTGCTAAGAGAAAAAGAAGAGCAGTGTCTACTGTATTTTTTTTTTCCTGACACAGCTAGCATTCTGGTTTTGACAAATATAAACTAAAAGGGAAGGCCTCAGATGTCTTGATAATCCATCATGTTCACTTCAAAGTTTTACAAAAATATACAATTCTGATAGATATGTCAATAAATAGCATGATAGACCACAGGTAATTCCATATTCATTAGGGAACTGTCCTATTTATGTGAAATTTTTTCTGACTAGCCAGTTCACATAATCACTTTAAACTATTTAAAATGTTAAAGCGTTAAGCTATTAAACTTTGAATTATTGTTAGTTGTCACTATTGTTATCAAACTTACTGTATGTCATTCCTTAATAAATAAATAAAACAATAAAATTTGGAAAGAATACCTGGAAAAAAAGAATCTCTCATTCACCAAAAATAGTAAATATTTGTTACAATATTGTCTGTTAAACATCAACATTTTTGGAGTGATTTTAAAACTTAGTCTCTTAATTCTCCTTTTTTAAAGTATTTATTGCTCGTTTCTGTTTCCTGTATCTAGAGTAAACTATTCTCAACTGTTTGGGAAAATCTCTCAACAAAAATCCTGCAATTAATTTCTGCTAACCCAGTTAGTAAATTTCTGCTCTTTTCAAGTATTTGTAGAATGACTTATACCCAGTTTCCTTTATGAAATTCAGTGATTCATTCTCAAATAGGAGCCACACCTCCTGAAATCACAATACCTTCAGACACAAAGAGCAGCCCTGGCTGTGTTCATGCATCTTGCTTTGCCTAGGCATCATCACATTCTCAGACTGGAAAATGATCCATGAAATATGATTTTGATGTCCATATTGCATCGACTCTCAGTCATTCTTAAACTTTTCTATGCTCTCAAAACTGTCAGTAATTCAGACATGATATGGAGAAAAGACTACACCTGTAGAGCTTAAAATCATTTCCCATTGTCTCAGTTATATATTTCTAAGGAATACTGGAATTGCTGAAGAAACCCACTGGCAAGTCTGCTCTGAATTATTGACAACAACATAAAAAACCCTTTAAGTCAGCTATGACAATAAATCATGTCAGCTAAGAGTGGTAGAAAGTTACAGAAGAAAAAATCAAAACTGGTGTAAATTCAGTTTTAATTTTATTAAAAAATAATCAATTTCAGACAGAGTAAAACACATAATCTTCAAATTTCTGGTACACTATCACTTTTTAGTAGAAAATGTGCCCTCAAATATTATCTTATATCATGCATGTACTGTTATATGATATGCAGCTGGCACTAACACTCCTCAAGTATTTGCATTAAAAAGCCTATTTTTAATTTTTTATTATCAAATTTTCCACTTTATTTGTAGTTAAAAAATAAGTTTGTGTTTCGCAACTCTCATAAAAATGCGTATGATATCACAAATTTCTTTTTGAGTAGCAGCATAATTCTAGAAACTGGATTGTTGAAGCCTTACATGTTTCAACAGGATACAGGATAAGCAGTGACCTTTCAAAGTGAAATGCAAATTGCCAATCACAATCGTCAAATCATCCAGTGGAACACCCATTAAGTTCATCTTCAATCAGACTTCCTAAGAATTGCTTTTTCTCCATCTGGACTGCTACCTTTTGACCTTGGACTGCAGCCAATTCTGCTCAGTAACCTTTACACTGTGTTAGTTATTCCTTTTTCCCACCTGATCTCATTAGGAGCAACTTTCTTCCTGTTTTGTAAGAGAAATAGGAAATCTGCTCATCCAGTGTGATGCAGTCCAAGACAGTCACTGCCAATAAAACAATCAAGCTGCAAAATGTTAGGGAAATTGGAAAAGGCCAAGAATAACATTACAGAAAATCTGAAGTGATGGAAAATAAGAAAAATAATGGAGCCCTGATAATTAAGCAGCGTTATGGTGCCATTGTCACCTTTTTTTAACCTTTTCCTTTATCCACCCACTGGGTGAGATACAGATGCTGTTTTCAAGGGTAATATACCCACAGTCTGTTGCCACAGATGAAACTGACCTCTTGGAGAAATCACCAAACTTCTGCAGCCTACAAAAAAACCCTGCAAATCTCCAAATGCACAACAAGAGGCAGATATCTATCTTCCCCATAAAAGGAAGTTAACACTCCAACCTATATGTGTTGTCTTCTCCCACAGCATTGCAAGGACTAACCCCTTGTTGTCTGTGCCGCCCATCCCCAGCCGCTGGGCAGTGCTGAGCTGGCTGTTCTCTGGCCAGAGCACCCTGCAGCCTCTCCGCAGGCCTGCTCCCTCCCCACGGGCTGGTTCTGCCTTCACCAAACTGTGGAGCCAGCAGCTGCCTCTGACAGGTCTTGCCTGCTTCTCTTTCAACACTATTTCTTAGGGTTGTCAGGGTTGGCATAGAAAATTAGTTTTTCTTTGGCTAAGGAGTATCCTTCCTCCCTCTAAAGAGCTACCCAGTTCCTCCCTCTAAGTGAGGTGTAGCCTAGTCACTGGCTTTTGATTCTTCTGAGAGTTACAGTATTTATTTAATCTTTTTAACTTCCTTGTTAAGGATTTTTTCAGACTACCCCTTTTTATCTCTTTTCCTAGTATAGAAAGGGAGTGTAATTGAATTCTTAGATTTTTTTTTTTTTTTTTTTTTTCACACAGAGAGAATACTATTTACTGTCCAGGTTTTCCTGTAACATTTAACTAATCCTTTATCACCACAGATATGATGCTATAATGTTCCAGGTATAAATTTCAATGACCAAACAGGCAAGTGAGTACAGATCTATGCAGAAAACAAGAAGTAAAAATTATTTTTATCTACATCATTCTTTCATAAACACCATCTTGTAGCAGAAGGAGTAGCATTACAGAAGATGTGAATTACATTAATTAACTGAACTTTAGATAGCAGTCATGAATAACTCAATATTTCTATTTAGGTGAGTTAAGTTCTGAAACATCAAAAAATCCAGAAGTAATAAAAAGTGTTTTGCAAAATAAAATGTTTAACAGATATGCAGAAAGTAGAAATTATACAGAAAAAAAGATTATTGTAAATTCAGCTAGATCTGTTTACCTATTGGAACACAAATTGAAGGAAGAGCATTCGTTAGTATTTGAAACAACAGAGCAAAGGTGTCCTGGTAAACAGTCCTGCAGCAGAAGGAAGATGAACTGGTGGACTTCATATCAGGCATATGTAAATTACTTGTCTTTAAAAACAGTTTATTTTAATGTGTTTCTTTCACAGTACACTTTTGCAGTTACGTTTCTGGAAGAGCAGCTGTTGCTGTTGAGTGGGCATCCAGCAGCACTGACTCTGCCATTTCACTGTGCTCCACCTGTCTCTCATGTTCTCAGCTCCACTCACACCTTCCCTGCACAAATTCCTACTCCCAACACATGGCTTTACCCTCCTGGTTACCGATTTCCTCTGTCACAACCAGGCCACCTCTTTTAAAGACCTGAATTTGGTGAAGCCAGTGTCTAAAATAACAGTTTTCCCTGAACAACACCCCCCCGATCCCCGTGAAACATGCACCTGCCCCCATGCTGAGTGGCAACTCACATTAGTGGGAATCTGCTCCACTTTATGTCTTTTCCACTGAAGCAGGTCTTTTAAGGGAAGTAATCTATTTGTCAGGTCACCAGTTGCTTTTGCAGTTGAATTTTTTGCTGTTTTTGTAACTTGAACCTTACAAACCAGTATAGGGAGGTGTGAGCTGGCTGTTGTAATACCCATCCAATAATAACTATTCAAGTTAGGCAGCTAAGAGAAAGCTGAGAATGCTAGTCAGAGCCCAGTATATCTTTGGATAACTCCACATCTAGGAAACCTGCTCAGTAAGAGACATATTGCCTTCTGCTGCTTCTGGGAGTTCACAAAGACACCCCTCAAGGCTGCCCTGTGTCTCAGTCTGAGGTGCTTGACTGCTTTATGGACTGCATAGGTCATGCAAGTGCTTCATGTCAGCTTCCTAGGCTCTCGGGATCAAGGCACTGCATGGCAACATGTAGTGCTTAGAGAAGTAAATCCTTTGTTGAACCTAGAATGACTCCTGCCAGACACTAATATTCCTTAGTGCTACCTCATCTTGGTAAGTCAGAGAGAAAAGGTGAGATGACATCCCCCCACAGAGAACAACAGTTTTTACCTATGCTATTCCCCTCCCATGTCAATGTCTGCAATTATATGAAGCATATTTTCCCTTCAAACTTTTAATGGGGATCTATGAAGAGCATCTTTGCTGGTTGTTGGTTGTTTTTCTTTTAAAGTCAAGTCAAATTTAACAAATACAGGTCTCATTCATAAGCAATGAAGTGTATAAACCACTGCAAATCATGCAAAGAAGGGAGCAGTCCAAGTTTACACTCCAGAGATTACAGCGGCAAAGGGATGGTTCAGGAAGTTTCTGCTTCCTTCCTAAAGTAAGTAGAAGGTTACAAATTAATCTCAAAAGAGTTTATAAGTCTTAAAAGAGTTAATGAGTAGGTTAAAACTCCCTGCTTCTCTTAATTGTCTACAGGGCAGTTGGTCCTGTAGCATATAAAGTACCCATACATGAATATGAGAAGTACAGCAGAGAGCCAGCAAACAGCAGACAGAAACCAAGTGCTGTGTCTTCTGCAAAAGATGCCAAAAGGTTTTTTTACTTTCATTCGTCTTTTTATGCTCTTACTCAGTTTCTCCACTATTTGCCTGGGAGTACTTTGCATGTCCATGAATTCCTCCATGTGCAGATGTGGGAGCAACAAGCTAGTGTTTTATTGCCTGTTAGCTCTGGGGCTCTGTCTCCTTGTTACTGGCATTTTCTGGAGCACTTTCCATGAAGTCCTGAAATACAGGGCCCCTGGCATCTTCATTCGAAATCCCAGCCACAGAGAACCACATGTCTGCACCATAGACAGGTATGTGTTGCAGATTAATTGGGAGGGAGGGATGCTATTTTTTAAACATATTGTGAAAAGAAAGAAGCAATACAAGGTTTTTACAAAACGCAAATTTTGTAGCCATTTTATTATTTTTCTGTGGAGAGAGCTGTAGTCTGAAATTTTATTTGCTAGAGCAAGCAGCAATGTGCAAACGCCATTCATGCAAATAATACCTAAGGTAAGGTATACTACATGAAACAGAGAAAGTTTCAGACTTTCCCAAGCTTCTAAAGCCATGCATGGAGGCAGCAGGTGCAGCTATTCCAACTTCACACAGGAGCATAGTGAGATCCATCTCAGCAGACAATTAAAATGCTGCTGGGGGGTAGGCGTTCAAGTTGAGGTATGCAGGGGGCCTCCGCTCATTCATTATATGGCTCCTGCTCAAATTTTATTGTCTAATTGTGTCCACGATTTAAAAACCTCAGGAAATTCAACCAGGCTAAGCACAAGGTGCTGCATCTGGGTTGGTGTAAATAGAAGCACAAACACAAGCTGGGCAGAGAATGGTTTGAGAACAGTCCTGGGGAGAAGAACCTGGCCGGGGGGTTGTTGATGAAGTAGGTCAATGTGACCCAGCAATGTGCACTTGCAGCCCAGAAAGCCAAATGTGTCCTGCATCCAAAGAAGTGTGACCAACAGGTTGAGGAAGGGGGTTCTCCTCCTAGGCTGTGACTTTGTGAGTCCCCACCTGGAGCATTTCATCCAGGTCTGGTGTCCTTGGCACAGAAAGGGCATGGACCTGCTACAGTGGGTCCAGAAGAGCACCATGAAGATGATCAGGGGAATGGAACACTACTCTTCTGATGACAGGATGAGAGAGCTGGAGTTATTCAGCCCTGAGAAGGTTTCAGTGAGTCTACAGCACCCTATGTATATGAAGGGAACTTATAGGAAAGATGGACAGGGACATCAAAAAAGAACACGTAGTGACAGGACAAGGGGGAATAGTTTCAAATGGAGAAAGGTTATATTAAATATTGGGGGGAAATGCTTCACTGTGACGGTGGTGAGGCACTGGAGCAGGTTGCCCTGAGAAGCCATGGCTGCCCTATCCCTGGAAACGCTCAAGACGAGGTTGGATGGACAACCTGGTCTAGCAGAAGGTGGCCCTGCACATGGCAGGAACTGAATGATCATTAAGGTCCCTTCCCAGAACATTCTGTGACCCTGTGATTTTGTTCTTAACAAAGTCTAATGCTTTGAGAGAGAGAGTTTGTTAAACTGCTCTAGGCCTGGCAAAACTCTTTAACATGGTCACTGGATACAAATTTCTTTTCCTGGACTGTTGTGGAAACCATACTGGAAACACCGACAATGGGTGTTCTAAAGGCACTATAAAAACAAAATTCAGTAAATTTTGGTTAGATAAGCAGAAACATATCAAATTTATTTTAAAACTGTGGAAAACAATGGTTATTGCAATAATAAATAACTTTGAACACTGATCTTATTCTTCTTCCAAATTAAACTTTTCTCTCACTTACTAAAATACTCACAAGAATGAGTGTTTGTATGCCATGGTTGGGAATTTTCATGGGGAAGGCTTATCTTTTTAGAATGCTGTTTTAATAAAACATTTTGTACAAAGACAAGGCAAATGATACCAGTTGTGCCTACATTTTATATTAATATGTTTCATTCTTTAAACACACTTAGATGTCTGTTTACAGTTAAAGCCTCATTCTAAATTCTGGAAACATAACAGACGAAGCATCTAATCAAGCTCTGTGAGACAAATCACACTTCACCATGATGTGTGTCTTTTAGGCCTGACTTCTACCCTCCCTCTTATGAAGACAGCATAGATCCTGAAAAACTTGTCTCCCCACTGTCAGTTGCCTCCACACTAAAACAGCAAGAATTCATCAATATTCCTCCACCTCCATACAGTGAAAGCAGTGCAGAGTTTGTCAGTGAAACAAATGAGCAGGAACAGCCACCACCATACACATTATCTCTGGAGCAGCAGCAAACAGCTGGCCAAGACCCAAACCCCACAGAAGGGGGTTAAATTCTCATTTATTCATCCAAGAAATCGGTTGCCAACAGGATACAGATTTCCAGAGGACCTCAGGAAGAGCAACACCTGTCAAAACATGAGAGACAGGCAGCCAGTAAAATCCTGCATCTGCGGAGCACGGAAAACTGGAAGAAGACTTGTATCATTGATTGCTAATAGCAACACTACTTAAAGTGAAATTGTCCAGGAAAAACATTGATCATTTGTGACTCAGAGTGGAGTTGGAGGGGATATCTAAATGAGCTCAGTATTTCAAATTAGAATAAATCTCCAGAGAGATAGAAATGCTCAGGCTGTGTCTAGTAAAAGTCACCATCTCTGGCAGTAGGAGTTTCTTACACTGCAAGATAAATGAACTATCATGGTATTATCAATCTTGATTTCTGCTTCATAAGGAGTTTCAGAAGAAAGCTCTCATTTTTGGTTTTCAGACATTAACTGACTTGGGAAACCTATTAACTTAGCTTGTGTTTGAAATTTGCAGATTATCTGTTGCAACTAATTATTTTTGTATTGTATGCCTTTCAAGTTATTTGTTTTATGTGGGGGGTAAAAAGAACTGCTATTTTACTAGTGAATTCATGAATAAATTTTGTATTTAAAACAAATGCTTTGTATTTGCTTCTATGATACAAGGTGCCCATTATTCAGGAAAAGAGCACAGTAAAATACACCACCTAGCTGCCAAACAGAGAGTTCTGGTTATGCTTCCATCTCCTCAGAGAGAACTATCAATTGCAGGAGGAAAAATAATCTCTGATTCCTCTGAGCCAATTCTAAGAGCAGTTGCTTGTGTTACAGCTTACTCAAGACTGTGAGAACTGAAAAAGGGACCCTGTACTCTGTTTCTGACACAAGTGGCTTCATAATTACGCAACAAACATCAGAAAAAACACTGGCTTGCACTCATCCTTGTTCTGTTACATGTATCCTTCCTCCCACAAAATCACTGAGGCAAATTTGCATCCAGGCCACCGTCATCTGTAATTCCAGATGGCAAGAAGAATTTCATGAAGGTTCGCTCAGACTTCAACTCTGATGTTTACTTTGGATGGAATTTTTCTTTCTGGGTTGGAAGGTTTGGATTAGAGAAGATCATTTAGCCCAAGCCCCTGCACTGAGCAAGTACATCTTCAATTACATCAGTTGGTCAGAGCACTGTCCAACTTGACCTTTAATTTTTCCAGGAGTGGGACATGTATCACCTCTCTAGGCAACCTGTTCCTGGTTTTATTACACACCAGTGAGACAGAAAAGCTATCACACTTTCCAGATGTTCATGTACTGTAAGACTACAAGTCAAGCATTACAGCTTTACATGCAAGCCATGGTAGTAGCCACTGCTAAGGCCAAAGAACTGACAGTTGCGTCAGTTTTGTCTTTCAAAGAATTTCGTCCTTCATGGATGTTCTTCAGTTCTTCAGTTGTTGTAAGTAGAAAGGAAAGAAGATTAAAAAGGGGTGGACAAGCTACAGAGGAAGAAAAATCCTTTCAGGACAAGTTGGGGATTAGAAATGTAGAAAACTACTCAGAGGGAGAAAAAAAGAGTCCCTGAAAGAGACAGAAGACATAAATATTTTTCAAAGCGACTGAGAAGCAGCACACCACAGAGAACAATAAAAATCAGAGGAACACAACACATTATTTCCGAAACAGTTAAAGAGAGGATCTGCTTGAGTGGCCTCATTATGGCCTTACCTCCTGGCATCACCATATGCATCCTCCAAAATCTCCTGCTTCTTTACTCCAGAGTCGCAGATTCTGAAGGCAGCCAGCATTGTGCAAGTATTAGTGCAGGCATCAATCACAGCAGGTAAGACTGATCAACCAGGAGATAGCCCACCATGTCCTCTCCATGTTTAGCTTTTTATTTTTTTTTCTTTCTCTTTTCCCTATGGAAATCTAACTTTTACACTAGGTGATATTAAAGCAAGACTGAGAGAGTGGAAAATGGCTGGGACTACAGTTCTGGATCATACCAAGAGCAAGTATTGCAGGATTATCACTGAAGTTTGCTCTTGGAGTGGTTTGCTACAGGAAATGCATTCAGAGCATTTCTACATACATTTACGAACAACCAGAAAGTTCTTTCCTTTCTTCCAATTCCACAAGAGTCCTGCAGTGCCCCTCTTTACTGCCAGCCTTTTGCAGATGTTGTGAGGCCATACTGGATCCAAAAATGTGAAACTGAGGATAAATGCATCTTCAACATGCAGTATGCAATAAAATATTTGACACAAAAAAGTTACTGAGATAGGGAGAACATTCACATTAATACCTAATATTTTGATACAATCTAGTTTTAAGTTTCTCTTTTCAGCTAATGATTATGAACTTAATGCAAAATGGCATGGGCAATGAGCTCAAAAATGTCAACAATCTTAAGGCAGCAAAAGGCTTTAAACACTTTGCTTTTGATTGTATTTAACAGCATGAATTTATCTTTGCCAAAAGTAGTAGGTGGAAATTTTACATTAAAATAAATCTTCTTTGGGCTGAAGGATATTAACTGGTCAAACTAAAGCTTGAGAACAGAACAGATTCAGTGCACTGACAAGCAACTTCCTGACACTGGTGACTGAGAAGCCAATCTTGGCACTCACAACACCAGAAGAAATGTGTGGGCATGTGAAGGTTTTTGCTGCAGGGATCATGAGATGGTGAATTCAGAAATTTGAAAGGTGGGAGAATAGCAAAGAATGGAACTGAAGTTTGCAGAGCAGACTTTTAACATCTTCAGAGTTGCTTGGAAGAATCACATGGGTTCTGCCCCTGGAGAAAGGATGAGTCCAGGGCAGGTGTTTAATTTTCAAAGATCACCTCCTTTATGCTCAGGAATTGTTCAACCTGATATGCAGAGTTCAAACAAAGGCAACAAAAGGCCTACACAGATGGCCAGAGAGCTCCTGACTAAACTTGATATAAACAGGAAATGTATGGAGAGGCGGAAGTGGGGACAGCTGAATTAGGAGGAATGCAGAGCACTGTACAATCATGCAGGGATGAGATGAGGAAAGCCAAAGCCCAGCTGGAGCTGAACGAGGTGATGTTGTGGTTTAAGATCAATTGGAAATTAGGCTCCAAACAGCCACTTCCCTTTCCCTGATCCCCTCCAGTGAGAAAGGGACAAAAAGAGAGAGATTATGGGTTGAGACAACAATCTACTGGAAAAACAGTAATAAGATAAGGAAAACAAACAGTTACAGCAACAATACTAACAATACATAAAAGAGGGTGATTACATGCCAAAAATGCTTATGGAAGTCCACCTATCCCATTGTTACCATAGCCAGCAATGTGGAGCTTTTCCTGAGACAAAGGAGAAAAATGGTGGGTGTTACTGCATCCCTGGTGGCCATGTGGCTTTTCCAGAGACAAAGGAGAAAAGGGTGGACATTACCACAGCTAATGTGGGGGTTTTTGTCCCACGTCTGAGACAATGGAAAACAATGATGGACAAATCTCCCAGGCCAGTCCACATGGCTCCATCCAGACCACACCAACTGCATCACTCTATTCAGCACTTTGCTTTCACAGGTAAAGAGGGAACAAAAATGTCTGTCTTTCCACTCTGCCTTTTATTCTACCCAAAGCCATGCACTACAGTGATGACATGACTAGTATAGAAAAAATCACCTGTACACATCCATATGGCTCCAGCATTCTTGACCTTCCCATACCTCCATCCCAGCAAATGCAAAAACAACTCTGTATGGGCTGAAACTAGGACAGATGAGAAATGGGAAGGGTAATGAGGAAAGTTTCTACAGCTACATGAGTTGAAAGAGGACATAGAAAAGGCTGAGGTGCTCAATGCCTTCTTTGCCTTCTTTGCCTATCTTTACTGGCAAAAGCAGCCTTCAGGAATTTTAAGGCCTTTGACACTAGACCAAAAATATGGAGCAAGGAAGACTTTCCTTGGATGGAGCAAAAAAAGGTCAGGAAGTACTTGAAAAAAATAGGACATACACACATCCATGGAATTATTTAGGATGGCATGCACAGAGCTGAAGAAGCTGAGTCATGGTACTGCAAGTTACCCTGTACTGCCTTGGAAAGATTGTGCGTGACCAGAGTGGTCCCTGAGGTAAGACAGCAAATATCACTCCTGTCCCTGAAAGAAGGAGGATCTGAGAGTTAGAGGCTGGTCAGCCTCACTTCAGTTCTTGGGGAAGTGATGGAATAGCCAATGCTGGAAACCCTTGCCAAAGCCAAGGACAAGAAAGTAATTAGGATCAGGAAGGACTTATGAAAGGTAAATTGTGCTTAACCAACTTGACAACCTTCTACAATATTGAAGTTCAACAAAGGGAAGTCCTGCTCTTGTGGATGAACAAACCCAGACAGCAATATATGCTGGGGCCAGTGGGTTGGAAAACAGCTACACAGAGAAGGATCTGGGGCTCACATGCTTAATAAAAAGTTGTCAACTCACCAGCAACTCACCTGCACAGCAAAGATAGCGATTGACATCCTGAGTTGCACCAGGAAAAACAGCAGCAGCAGCTGGAGTAAGGTGATCCTTTCCCTCTGCTCAGCACTGGTAGAGTTAAGATACATCTGGAGTGCTGGTCCAGGTCTGAGTTTCCCAAGCACGTAACAGATGTGGACATTCCAGAGTACCTCTAGCAAAGGACCATAAAGGGACTTGAAACTTTGTCGTATGATGACAACTGAGAGAGTTGGGAGTGTTTAGTCTGAAGAAGAGAAGGCTCTTGAAGGATTTTATTGATTTATAGAAATACTTAGTAGGAAAAAAAGAAGTGTATGGACCTAAGCTCTTCTCAGTGACAGGACAACAGGCAATGGGTACAAACTGGATGACATGAAATTCCACCTGAACACTCCAGAAGATTTTCCTGTTCGGTTTTTGATTTTGGCCTTTTTTTTTTTTTTTCACACCATGGGAGTAGTCAATCCTTTGTACAGTTTGCCCATAGAAATTCTGGCATTTCAGCCCTTGGAGACAACTAAAATCAACTAGACATGGTCCTGGCAGCTTCCTCTACCTGACTCTACTGTGAGCTCGGACATAGGTGATTTTAGTCCTGATCAACTAAATGGCCTCTCCAGCCTTGAGGATTCTGTGATCCTCTGGTTCAGGTGAGTAGTATATCGCCTTCCAAATTGCCTCTGAACACAGAGAAAATATGAGGGTTTAGGAAACAGAATGCTCCAAATAAATGTTAGTGCAATCACAGCTGAATAATACAGGAATCTTGCAACTTCCAGACTTGAGGAAGCTGCTAATTAAACAATAGCATAAAAGGGTGTGGGTCTCTGTCACAGTGCCTAGACACTCTGATAAGATGAACAGTATAAATAATAATTTTCCCTCTGCTAATGTATGGTCTGGTTATAAGAGCCCTGCATCTTTTTGCAAGTTCATATAACTTGGTTTTTTCCACACATTCATCTGTCACGTTAATAAGTAAAAGACCTCAGGAAATGCAGCACACTCCATGAGGCTGTGGCTACAGTCCTCTCCCACACACATCAGATATAAAGAGCTGCATTTGAGCCTTACAAAGTTTTATTTATCTTTGCAGAGAAAAGCAGTTAACTGGTGGAAAATACCAGTAACATTTTATCAGTATCACCCATCACCATAAAAACTGGGATGGTGATTTCAGGTTAGGCTACTTCTGCAAGTCTGCTGTTTGACAGCTATTCAAAACCAGACTCAACCAACCATTTTCGTAAACAGCCCTTTTCTCCCTTTCCGTACACAGGCACAACTAATGTTTCTCCAGCCCAGGACAAAATTAATACAGAGATTTTGAAACATGCCCTTTGTTTATGATGACTGCCCTCATGAAAGTAGACCGCCATCTACTGCCGCTCT